TAATGAAACAACATCAAAAGATTTATTAATAATTATTATTTCTATTTAAATGAAACTGAATAATTAATCAATTTATCAACTAAATTAGAGTTAAGGAAAATATCGATTATCAGATAATTATTAAATTTGATATTTATTTCTTATATAGGATAAATGAATAATTTTACAAGTAGTATAATTTAATACTATTTTTGTTATAGAGTTTATGATAATAATTTTTATGATAGAACAATAACGTAATTGGAATACAACCTGAGAATAAAAATCAAATTAGTATGTTTTGTTGTTAATCTTTAACATTTTTCTTTTTTTTTGAATATATTATTTTTTCTTTAATAAACATTGTTAAACATTTTAATTACATATTAACTATTTTAATACATATTTTAAATTTCAAATATATCTCATATTCTATTCTAACTGATATATTTATATATATTTTTAATTTAAATTTTCATTCTTTGTTTCTTCTTATTATTTTTAGTTTATTAAAAATTAATCGCTTAATTATTATGTCCACTTTATTCTGTATTGAAACAAATTAATTAGTCAGACTTTTTCAAAGAATTATAATATTTAATACTCTGAATTATTATATATATATATATATATATATATATATATATATATATTATTTTATGAATTATTAATAAATAATCAAATCAGATAATTAAGTTACTATAATTAATTAATCTCTTTTTGTTATTTTATGCCTTTTTTAATTATACTCTAATTCTTAATAAAATAATTTTTTATTTTTAAATTATATGTTAATTTATTTCTGTATCAGTTGTTGCTTTCGTTTACTCACTTTTCTTTTCCTCTTACCATTTATTTTTGTTAAATTTATTCCATTTATATTATTCTTTTAGTTTGTTTAGTTTATTTGTTTCTTTTATTGTTTTGAACATTACTCTATTGAGACAAATTATTTTTAATTATACATTTTTGATCTAAATTGTAATATAAATCAGTTTGATTCATGGTTATATGTTTTTGAGTTAATAAATGAAATTTATACTTATGTTGTTTATTATTAGAATAAACCAAATCGATTCGTTTTCATTTGATGTTAATTCTCTTACTATCTTTCTATTGATTTAAAACAATGTTGAAATAGATTATTGAATGAATAATTTAATGATAATTAACCATTTATAAATACATGAACATACTTAAATATTGTATTATTTATGTAATTCTTTTCCGATTATTTATTCAATAATTTAACCCATTTATCTATATTCTGTATTAACCAATCTTTTTATTCATTTTTCTTTATTATTAGAATTCTATTTATCTCTTTTTGTTAATTTATTCGATTTCTATCCTTTTTTATTTTTTACTATTTCAATAACATTTGTTTATTGGACAACCGTTTAATGACAACCTCACATTTTGTGTGATGAAATGATAGTTAAAACATAAAAAGCAATGAAATAAACAATAGTACTAGATCTCATTTAACTTTTAATAAAAATGAAAAATGCACGAAGTGGGGTTTGAACCCACGCATCTTTCGATATCCGCGCCTAAAGCGGACGCCTTAGACCACTCGGCCATTCGTGCTTCCCTTTTTTTATTTGTTTCTTTTCTTTCGTTACTTTTCTTATTGGTAATTTCTTATGCCTTTAATTCCTTTCTCATTCAAATTAAATTTGTTTTAATAAAAGAAAAACGACGACGATACGACTGTTTCACGTCTTAAGTCCATTGTTAGTTTATACCATTATTTTAGTGCTATGAAAAATAATCTTCCTTTTGAATTAATATAAAAAATATAAGAACTGAGTTGTATAAAACATCATTAGGATATTTCAAATAAATCATCGAACTCATTACCTTGATAGTATTGAACAAAATAAATTACCTTTTTTTATTAACAACAATTCTTATTTTATTCTAAAATTGTTTAACTCATTTTAGATTTAAACCAGAGACCTTTCAAAATGATGGTGGAAAAAAGTTATGAAAAATTTAATGATTAAAAATAGGTAAATTATTATTGATTTTATGAATACTTATTAATTTCATTGTTAATAATTATTTATAAACAAGTAGAACATATTATTCTTTATTTTGTTGTGTTGGTTAAGTATGTTAAAACAAATTTGATATTAATTATTATTTTTAATTAAATTATTAGTGAATTATTCATTCAATTTTTATTTATTTATTTAAATTTAATGTTGTAATGATTGATTAATGTTTATTATTATATTTATTACATTTTTATAAGATTTATTGTTGTTATTCATTTATTATTATATTTATTATTTATTTATGAAATGTTTGTTTTTTTTTATTAATTACTTTATAAGTAGTTATTCATTTTCTCTTTTATTATATTAATTTATATTATTTGTTTATTGATTATACATTTATAATGAATAATTTCATTCAATATTTTAATTATTGATATTAATTATCTAATTGAAAATTTAAATCATTTAGATTATCATAATTTAAAAATAATATTTCTTTATTTATTTTAATAAGAGTTTGATTATCATTTGTATTTTCTATATTTTAATTTGATATTCTTGTTATTGTATTATTATTATTATTATTATTATTATTATTATTATTATTATTATTATTATTATTTATTGTTGTTTATCTTATATCATTTATTTATCATATGTTGTATTGATATTTATCAATGTTAATATGAAATGAATAATAATGAATAAATATAAAATAAGAATAAAAAGATATAAGAATATAACATAAATAATAAAATAAGAAATATATAATAGATATAAAGATAAAAGAAGAAGAATAAAATAAATAAATATAAAATAATATAAATAATATAAATTAAATAAAAAATAATCAAATAAATATTTTATTATATTTTTATTTATCTTTTATTCTTATTTCTTTTTATTATTTATTAAATTAACACAACGAATATGAATATTTCAATGAAATAAAACAAGAATGAAATATGAATATTTTTATATTTATCATTTCATTCATTGATAGATGAAATGTTCATTTATTGATTTTATTTTATATTCTTTTTTATTTTTATATTTCAAATAAATAATAATGAATAAAAATTATTTCATTTCAATTACAATAATTCGTTGTGGTTTGAAATATTCTAGAAATCGTTTTCCACAAAGTGCATTTGATATTCCTTTATATTCAAATGAACATTGATTATAAAATGATTTTGTTTTATAACTTTCTTTATAAACACAAATATCATCATCATATCCAAATGAAAATAAAATATTACTTGATTGGTTAAATAAATAAAATGCATATTGTGGATCTTTAATATCAAATTTCATCATTCCTTGTATTCTTCCTTTTGACTCTAGTGAAAATAAAAATGATTTTGAATCATTTATATAGCCAAATTTATCAATTTTTTCATTAACATATCCTCCAAATTTATTTCCATTTGTATCTTCAATAATAATTATTATATGTTCTTCATACCATATTTTTTGATCAAATACTGATGTATATTTATTCCAATTATCAATTTCTGAATCAAATAGTATATCGGATACTTTTCTTTCTGTCCATTCTTCTATTTGTTGAATTTGATATTTTGATAGATATCCCTTTTCAATTCTTTTACTTTCCCAATCTATTCTAATATCTTCTAATTCTCCTTTATATCTGTTTGTCCATCTTTTATTTCGTTCAATTAATTTATTAATTCGTATTTCTTCAGTTTCCATCACTTTTGTAATGATGGTATCAATTTGTTTTGATAGTATCTCTTTATCATCCCATCTAATTTCATTAATTACTTGATAGATATTCATTAAATTATTTAACACTCTCATTCCTTCTTTTATTTTATTTCTAACTATTTTATTTCTTCTAATTATTTCTTCTTTTCTGTCATAAATTCCTTCGATCCTTTTAATTCTATCTTCTGGACTTTCATTTTCATTGTCAGTTATCTCTTCTCCAATTCTATTTTCCCAACTCTCATTATATTCTCGTGCACTTTTCATGATTTTATCAATCTGATTCTTAACAACATCACTTGTTTCTTGTAATTTATTAAATGCCTTATTTCTTTCTTCTTTGTTTATGCCCATTCTTCTTTTATTCTTCTTTGTTATTTAGTTTGTTTCTATTCTTTTTATTTTGTTATAAACTCCATTCATTCATTTTCAAGCTCTAATTATTAGTTCAACGATAATTATTAATAGATCATCTATTTTTATCAATTATTATAAATAGATTAAACTAAAATAGATTATTTTATTATTTATTATTATTAATAGTTCAAAAACAAAAAGAAGTAATAAAAAGAAGAAAGAAGATAGATGTAATAGATACAAAGATAATATGATATTACCATTTGATAAACAACAGAAATAATGAGAAATGAAAATATATGAAAAACAGAAAAAGAAGAAAAGAAAGAATTAAAGAAGCAAAGATTATATTAATAAACAAAATGATAA